TAACATGTTAGTCTGTGTGGGTGTGTGTGTGTGTGTGGTAACATGTTAGTCTGTGTGTGTAACATGTTAGTCTGTGTGTGTAACATGTTAGTCTGTGTGTGTGTAACATGTTAGTCTGTGTGTAACATATTAGTCTGTCTGTGTGTGTAACATGTTAGTCTGTGTGTGTGTGTGTGTGTGTGTGTGTGTGTGTGTGTGTGTAACATGTTAGTCTGTGTGTGTGTAACATGTTAGTCTGTGTGTAACATATTAGTCTGTGTGTGTGTAACATGTTAGTGTGTGTGTGTGTGTGTGTGTGTGTGTGTGTGTGTGTGTGTGTGTAACATGTTAGTCTGTGTGTGTGTGTGTAACATGTTAGTCTGTGTGTGTGTAACATGTTAGTCTGTGTGTGTGTAACATGTTAGTCTGTGTGTGTGTAACATGTTAGTCTGTGTGTGTAACATGTTAGTCTGTGTGTGTAACATGTTAGTCTCGTGTGTGTGTGTGTGTGTAACATGTTAGTCTGTGTGTGTGTGTAACATGTTAGTCTGTGTGTGTGTAACATGTTAGTCTGTGTGTGTAACATGTTAGTCTGTGTGTAACATGTTAGTCTGTGTGTGTGTGTGTGTGTGTGTGTAACATGTTAGTGTGTGTGTAACATGTTAGTCTGTGTGTGTGTGTAACATGTTAGTCTGTGTGTGTGTGTAACATGTTAGTCTGTGTGTGTAACATGTTAGTCTGTGTGTAACATGTTAGTCTGTGTGTGTAACATGTTAGTCTGTGTGTGTGTGTGTAACATGATAGTCTGTGTGTAACATGTTAGTGTGTGTGTGTGTGTGTGTGTGTAACATGTTAGTCTGTGTGTGTGTAACATGTTAGTCTGTGTGTGTGTAACATGTTAGTCTGTGTGTGTGTAACATGTTAGTCTGTGTGTGTGTGTGTAACATGTTAGTCTGTGTGTGTGTAACATGTTAGTCTGTGTGTTTAACGTGTATTTTTGTCCTCTTTCAGGTATCTACACTCAGGTGTGTCTTGTGGATATTTTGTGGATCAGTGGTCGCTGGAGGAGCAGTAGAGATGGGGACTCAGGGCTCAGGCAGGAAACGAGCTCCTGTGAAAGATCGATTCTCCGCCGAGGACGAAGCTCTGAGCAGCATCGCCCGAGAGGTCAGGTTATCTCACACAAACACACACACGCACCTGTTGGTCTATTATTTATAACATACCTTAATAATATTATAATATAAATCTGCATAGTCACAGGACGTATGGTGTGATGTTACCTCCGAGCTGATGAAGATGATGAAGAGTGGTTAATGAGAGCAGGAACATGCAGAGATGTTATTAATTATGATGTGATGATAAACTGAAGTTAAACAGCAGTTTTGTGCACTAAAGAACATACAATGATTTATTATCAGTTCATCCTGCGTTTGTCTCTGTAGACTCTTCAGTCTCTCTCCTTTTCCAACATCGTACTTCCCTAACAGCTTATAAAATATGACGAACGGCTGACTGCAGACTTGTTCATGATCGTGATGTGAACTAGGGGTGCAGAAATGCAAAATGTTCTCTAATCAATTACTCTTCCCATTGTTAAAGCGAGTGCTCGAGTAATTGTTTTGTACGCCCCGCCCCCAACTATGACGCGATGCCGACTGTATCTGTTGATTAATTTTAATCTTCGGGATTTTAATAATTGTTAGTAATAGGCCTTTGTATTAACGTTCAAATATGAAGTTTCTTACTTCAACATACAGCAAACCTCAAATAAAATTTCACACAGACGTATCTTCTGACCGTTTTAACACTTTATTATAATTAGAGCAGTGAGTGTGGCGAGCGGACGTGCAGACATCAATGCGCACTCATCGCACGTTGAAGCTGTTTTGACAGCAACACTCTGTTAACAAAGACTACAGTCTGCAGTGTAGAGCACACTTTACTCTGCTAAATGAAGTTACAATAGAACGAGGTGAAGTGTCTGTCTGTTTCATCTTTCTCCTCTGTGCGTAATGACACACTCGCTCAATCTCGCTTGTCCATCTGCTATGAGCTATTTATTATTTATAATAATATATTTATAATATAATATATTTCTTTTGTTTGGGACTTTTTGTTCATTGTGAATTCATGGGGGGTTAATTAAAGGGATATTTTTGTAAGGGTAGCAGCGTACGGATCAACAACGGACGCGTTTCAGCACAGAGCCTTTATCAGCGCTTTGTTTGTCATCTATTTTCTCATTTTGAGTGTGCTCCTTTTTCTCTGTTTTGAATTAGGCCTATCCTAGAACCCACAATGCAACAAGAAACATTGACAAAAATGTGGACTACAAAACGATTATCGATTACATTTTTTTTGTAACCGATTATTATTTAATGAGTTTGCACCCCTAATGTGAACATGCTCTTCTAAACTCTGAGTTTACTGGTGTGGTTGATGAGCAGCTTGTTTGTGTGACCTCCCGCTGTGTCAGGGTTAGTGAGGCCTCAGGAGCTGACCATGTTACTCAGACATGAAGGCTTGTTACATGGATCAGTCTCACTGTGACTCATCTAATGAGACATGAACTCCATCCAAACATCACCTCCACCTATCTTCTGTTTTTTTATTTTATATATTTTTCATTTTGAAGGTTTGTGTTATTATAGTTACCCTACTTTCATCTTCTACTTTATGTTCTTTTACCCCTCAAACACAAAGTCTTTGTATAAACACCCTAAACCTTGAATCAAACCTGATTCTGTGATGTGCAGGTAAGGTTTCTCCAGAGAGTGTGTGTAGAGTGTGTGTAGAGTGTGTGTAGAGTGTGTGTAGAGTGTGTGTAGAGTGTGTGTGCAGGCAGAGACCGCCAGCTATTCGGAGCAAAGACACTCTAAATTGTCTTGGGGTGTTTTCTTGAGTTCCTGTGGAGTAGGGAAGCAGCTGAGCCTGTACCAACACGTCTGAATTATTCTGTGTGTTTGTCAGCAGGCATCTGTTCCTCTGACAACAACACGTCTGGATTATTCTGTGTGTTCGTCAGCAGGCGGCTGTTCAACAGAACACTCTGTCCATCGACAAAAGAAAGTGTTTCTTGTTTCACATATTAAAGCTTTTATTGTGGCAGGAAAGTGTTTCCTGTTTCACAGATGAAGCAGCTCCTGGATGTCTGTAGAGTCATACCGAGTCACACAGGCCGACCATAGAAACATGACGCATCTAAAACCCCCCCCAACACACACCCAGACACAGACACCCCCCCACACACACACACACACACACACACACACACACACACTACAGCCCAAAGTTCATACTGCTTTGTGATCCAGTTTTATATCTGATCATTTAATAGTCAATGATCGTGTGTGTATATTACAGCCCAAAGTTCATACTGCTTTGTAATCCAGTTTTATATCCGATCATTTAATAGTCAATGATCGTGTGTGTATGTGTGTGCACATACGCACACACTTGCAAACACACAGAGCTATACATAGAGCAGAGACAGCACGCCCTCTCTCTCTTGCTGTCAGGCAGTCAACAGCTGCAGACGTCACTCAGCTCTCTCTCTCTCTCTCTCTCTCTGTCAATTCAATTCAATTTCAATTCAAAGGGCTTTATTAGCATGAAAAACATACATTAACATTGCTAAAGCTTAAATCAAAATTAAACAAATTAAGTACAATTAAAGAATAACAAAGATTAAATATTTAGCTAACAGAGCTTTGCAGGTTTACGATTTCTTTTCTTTTTTTATAGATGAAAATGTAATTTAGCTTTTAAAATATTTACAGATAACTTACTTAACTGAATCTCTTCCTTGTTTGATTCCTGTTAGCTTAGTGGATGATACCACCAGCTCTCTGTAGTGTACAGGGCAGCCAGTGGGGCTGTCTTTTTTGTACCATCTCTTGTAGGATGATAATGTCTGTATCTGCGATTGTATTTCTTTGGTGAAGTCCGGGTTTCTGCTCTTAGTACCAAAGGCAGACGACCTCAGACCTATTCCAGGATGAAATGGTGAAAGATTTGTAATCCATAGTTGTGTTATTCCAGTGGTTTTAGGCCTGGACCATGATTGTGTAGAGCTCGCTAAGCATCTGGTGTATCCTCAGGTCACAGGGTTGAGCTCTGTTCAGTGTGGCGATGGGATTTGTTCTGCTCAGAGCTTGTGCATATGTGTGGTGTGGAGTTGGTAGGAGGGGGGTGGGCCTGGCCTGGGGTGTAGGAGAATGGGTAGCAGGATGTCCTGTAGGGTGACCAGGGTATCCTCTGGGTGGGTCGGTGTGTGTCTCCTGGGTAGAGCTGGTTCTCTGGGTGGAGCAGGGTTGCCTCTGGGTGGAGCAGGTCCCCTAGGTGGCGCAGGTCCCCTAGGTGGCGCAGGTCTTCCGTATGTTGGTCTGTCTGAAGTGCTCATCTCTCTGTTTCTTCTGTGGGATGTGCTGGGTTTGCGGTTGAGTGCAACGTCTTTTAGGGTCTTTGCAAACACTGGGACCGTTGCCTTGAGGATGTGCACCTGGTTGTACAGGCTGTTCAGGTCCAGAGTGGGGTGGAGTTTCACATATACATTTGGCTTCAGTGCACAGTCTCTGGAGATTTGTGCATTTACTCTATGGATGAGGGCTGGGTGGAAGTCCCATCTGGGTAGCAGAGTCGAGATAACTACCCTCGCAGAAGGGAATGTGGCCGAGGCTTTATCTATGACCTTCTTGAGAGAATTGGCCACCTCTTCTCTCTGTGTTCTCAGGTTGTTTGTGCCAGTGAGATTGACGATGTGGCTGGGGGATTCTAGGTGGTCTTGTGTCAGCAGTTCCATGGCATGGCTGGTATTCCGGCACTTGATTTTAGCGACTCTGTTGTTAGGAAAGAGTTTCTTCTCTTCCACATACCTCCCATTTGAGTCCATGAGGACTACAACTTGTGGGTTTTGAGTCGCGTTGCTTTCTGGAGGTCTGGTGGTTTGGTTGGTTGGAGAAGGGGTCTCTTCGGTTAGTGGCTCTTGACTTGGTGGTGTTGCTGAGTTATTGGGGCTGTCGTCCTGGTCCTGTTGTTCTGTTGTTTCCTGTGGAGGGGTAGACAGCTCAATCACAGGTTGTTGGCTGCTCAACTCTCTCACCTTGTCTTCAAGCTTTCGCACCTCTTCTCTGAGCTGCCTCATCTCCTGCTTGTAGACCTCCTCATTGTCTTGGAGTCTTTTTACTGTGTTCCAAAGTGCAGACAGGTCTTTCTCCCCAGAGGTGTCACTGGGTCTGTGTGAGTTATTCTTGCCCTGTGTTGTTGTTGTCTGCTCAGATTGGAGTGTGTTGATCTTTTGCTCCATTTCCACTTGCTTTATTTCTAACTGTGTGAATCTGTCTCTGTTACGGCCAGTGAATATAGGACCCAGATGCAGGACACATAAACATAGGGGTTGATTGGTAATGAAGGTTATTGTAGCAAATGGAGATGAAGATGGGTTGAAGATTCCGGCGGTTGGCAGAGTGAAGGGGATGACGGCTGACCAGAGCAGAGTAGTGGTGTGAACGTGTGGTTTGGAGTCCAGAGAGCAGGTTGAGGCTGATGGCTGAGCAGGAAAGCAGGTGGGTGAATGGTGATCCTAAAGCAAAGGAAAAAACAGGATGAGACTCAAAACTAGCACAAGAAATTATTTTCAAAAATCGTTAAAAATCTTAATTAGCCTGAGACGTAGTCTACCGCAGTAGTTGACACAACGATCTGGCGATGAGTGGATGGAGAGCCGGGGTATATATACTGCTGAGTTGATGAGTAGATGGAGAGCTGGTGTGCAGGTTTGAGCAGGTGAAAGGAATGAACCTCAAACAGGAGGGAGCCACAGAGTGATGATGTTTTATCTGTTTCCAACAGTTATCTGTGGTGATCTTCAGTTAGCTGACTCCTGTTGATCAGCCATTGTTCTGTGGCAGTTGGTGATAGCTTTAAACTAGTTGTACCTTTGTCTTATTTTTTCTCCTTTTTTTGACTTAAAGATGTTCAGTTTTTTTCTCTCAAAGTATCCTAGAGTCTTGGTTTTCTTTGTTGTTGTAGCTTATATTGTAATTTGTAAACGGGTTAGGGTCTCTGTATTACAGCTGAACCAAACCTCACAGACACATTTAAACTTCACAGTCAAACATCACCACATGCTGCGTGACATGGAAAACATTTTTTTTAGTTATTTTACTCGCAGGATCTCAATATGTCCGGAATCATCTTCTGTTTAAAGTCGTCTGTAAAGAAGTTTCAGAATAAAGCATATGAAATAAAGAATCTTTTGCCGCCGGTTGCCTAGTGGTAAGTGTACGCACCCTATGTACGGCCCGGGTTCAAACCCGACATGTGGGTCCTCTCTCACTCTCCCTGATTTCTGACTCTTTCCACTGCCCTGAAAGTCCCTCAAAATAAATCCAAACAAAATAAAGCGATTACCTGTGATGTAATTGTAGATACGATGATTTTTGTCTCCGTCTTTGCGGGGGAGGTAATTTAAGACGCTGTAGTGAAAACACCCTGAGCACCTTATCACTTTGTTTATGCACTACTTTATCTCACCCCACCATGTCCCTCCGCCTGCAGCTCCACCGTCAGCTGGACAGTAATATATAGTTATTGTTATAATCCACTTCACATGTACATGTTCTCAACTCTTCTGTGTGTGTGTATCAGGCGGAGGCGAGGCTTGCGGCGAAGAGGGCGGCTCGTGCAGAGGCAAGAGATATTCGAATGAGGGAACTGGAGCGACAGCAGAAAGAGGTAAAGAACACCTGCGGATTAAAAATGTCACCTGAAATATCATAACTGCTGAGTGTGCAGGTCGTAGGGGTCCGACCTGAGAGTGTGTTCACAATAAAAACACACACACTCAACATGTCCACTCAAAACAAGCTGCATGTCCACAGGTCAAAACAAGCCAGATGTTTACAGCTTAAAGTGTAATGCTTTAAACCCTCAGTCCAGATGTTTCACAGCTTAAAGTGTAATGCTTTAAACCCTCAGTCCAGGTGTTTCACAGCTTAACGTGTGATGGTTTAAACCCTCAGTCCAGATGTTTCACAGGTTAAAGTGTGATGGTTTAAACCCTCAGTCCAGATGTTTCACAGTTAAAGTGTGATGGTTTAAACCCTCAGTCCAGATGTTTCACAGCTTAAAGTGTGTGGTTTAAACCCTCAGTCCAGATGTTTCACAGGTTAAAGTGTGATGGTTTAAACCCTCAGTCCAGATGTTTCACAGCTTAAAGTGTGATGTGTAAACCCTCAGTCCAGATGTTTCACAGTTAAAGTGTGATGCTTTAAACCCTCAGTCCAGATGTTTCACAGTTAAAGTGTGATGTTTAAACCCTCAGTCCAGATGTTTCACAGCTTAAAGTGTGATGCTTTAAACCCTCAGTCCAGATGTTTCACAGCTTAAAGTGTGATGGTTTAAACCCTCAGTCCAGATGTTTCACAGCTTAAAGTGTGATGGTTTAAACCCTCAGTCCAGATGTTTCACAGGTTGAAGTGTGACGGTGTAAACCCTCAATCCAGATGTTTCACAGCTTAAAGTGTGACGGTGTAAACCCTCAGTCCAGATGTTTCACAGTTTAAAGTGTGATAGTTTAAACCCTTTTTGTGTTGATCGCCCTCCTGCAGCTCTCTCTCCACTCTGCCAGCAGCAGGAAGTGGGGTCAGATCCACCAGTGGATGGTAAATAGTCGCACAGCTTGTCACTAACTGTGTGTTACAGCATGGAAATAAACAATAATAATCTGAGACTGTGTTAATCCGGATTTACACTGTGAGCTGAATCGTTTAAGACACGCGACCAGAGCTCATGCTGTACGAGTGAGTCGTTAGTCTTTGTGGTCTGCTGTTGCCATGGCAATTTCAGATGCTTTCTGTCAGCATGCTCAGACACAATCAGGAAAAAGGGTAAAAAAAAAAAAGAGGCTCTTCTGTCACACTGTGAGTGTGTGCAGTCCTAAAATAAAAATCATCTGACCGGTCGTAGCAGCTGATCGGGTGTGTTGCTTGTTGTGCCTCCCCTTCCACAGCATGTCTAACGACACTCAATCTTTTGACCGGACTTCAAATTCTGGTGTGCGACTCATGAATAGTTTCCAAAATGGTTGAAATCGTACAGTGAAGGCCAACTGCTTTAAGGGGCTGATGGTCCAGCATCTTCAGAGATGAAGGATGATCTGATGCGCATACACACAAGGTTTTAGTGTTTGCTGCTCTGTTTTTAAATAACAGTTGTGTGTGATATACAAGCTGTAGTTGTGTTATGGATTACAGACATGATGGCTTCTGATTGGTTGTCAGCATGATGTCGGAAGTCAAGCATGGTGTGAATTTTAAGGAGGATGACTGCAATTGTCCTTCTCCTCTGTGTGAAGGATCCTCTTCACTCTGTTACCCTCCTCCTCCCCCTCTTCCTGCTCCTCCCCCTCATCATGCTCCTCCCCTTCTCCTCCTGCTCCCCCTCCTCATGCTCCTCCCCCTCCGGCTCCTCCTCCTGCTCCTCATCCCCTCCTCCTGCTCTCCCTTCCCCCCCTCCTCCTGCTCCTCTCCCTCTGGCTCCTCCTCCTGCTCCTCCCCCTACTCCTCTTGCTCTTCACCCTCCTCCTGCTCCTCACCCTCATTGCAGGCCGAGACAGAGAGAGCTCGAACTGCTGCTGCTCGTCCTAGCAGTCGCCACCACCGGGTCTGTAACTCGCCCAAATACACAAACACAAAAACACATGCACACACTTCCTGCATTGTGTCTTCTGCAGTGACTCTGTATTCTGACTCCATGTTTCCATGACAACAGGGTCTGGATGATGATGTCATGTCAGTCCGCAGTTACAGGGTGCGTTCATTATGATTTAAACTTCTGTTGTTTTTTTGATATTGTTTTTATTATGAGAATGAGATAGTTACAGGTGAGATATTTAGGTTGTTTTCACATCTGGATATTTAGAGAAGTTCTTCTGTACCAGAAGGCGTTTTCGACGTATGTGAGCACAAAAATGTCTCTTGCATGTGAAACAAAATAAGCGAGCAGATATCGACTAGAAGAGGAATTCTCTGCTTGCTTCCATCAATCCCTGGAGCGGTTCATTTACAATAAGAATGAATCAACACGGCCACCAACCCAACAGCAATCAACCTAGCAATCTAACCAGTAACCAACCCAGCAGCCAACCCAACAACCAACCCAGCAATCAACCCAGCAACCAACCCAGCAATAATCCAACAATCTAACCAGCAACCAACCATACAACCAACCCAGCAACAATCCAACAACCAACCCAGCAATCAACCCAACAATCTAACCAGCAACCAACCCAACAACCAACCCTGCAACCGACCCATGAACTTACCCAGCAACCAGTCCAACAACCAACACAGCATTCAACCCAGCACCAACACAGCAACCAACCAAAAACCAAGCAACCAACCCAGCAACCAGACGGTTTGCCAGAACATCCTTGAAGCACTGAAAGTCCTTTTCAATAGCCTCTCAGAACTCCTCAACTACCGAAGCCCTAGCTCTCAGGATGCCAAGCTTGAAAGGCCTCCTTCTTCAGCCTGACGGCTTCCTTAACTGCTGGTGTCCACCAGCTGGTTCTTAGATTGTTGCCACAACAGTGACCGACGGTCCTCTTGCCGCAGCTCCTATAAGCTGCCTCCAAATGGGGTATTTGTAGTAGTAGCAGCTAATAGCTAATAGCTAATACCAGTAGCAGTAGCAGTAGCAGTAGCAGTAGCAGTAGCAGTAGCAGTAGCAGTAGCAGCAGCAGCTACCTTTGCATGTAGCTGTCATAGTTTCTTGGCCTTGGACAGATCTTGTTGAAAGCCTCTCTTTAGCCTTTTCAGCATATGCACTCCGGGTTAATATCTAGATATTTACAGGAAGACTTCTCTGGAGATTCTCCCGACCTAGTCGTTCACATATGCTCCTCACAGCGGGGGACTTTCCCTGTCAGAGGGGAATTTCCAGAGGTAAGACGTGACGTAAATAAACAACGCGGAAGTAGCGGCCGTAGCAACAGAGTCCGCTACACGACGCCATAATGACAATATTTGCCTTTATATCAATGTTGTGTGTAATCCAATGGAATGACAACATCCACAAAAGAGAGGAGAACAACATACTGATGAACAGAAAACATAATGCAGCCATTTAATTACGTGCACACAGATCGTAGTGGTCGCGTGCAGACACTGAGGCAGTCACTGTATATAAACGTCAGTTTCTTCCCATTGGCTCGAGTTGAAATCTCCGGAGTATATTCGACTGCGTTCAGACTGCGGATAAAATACTAGGCGTCTGGCCAGAGAAACTCCGGGTGAAGTCCGCGTGAAAAATGCGGCTGTTTGCGTTCACACATAGCCTAAAGAACCTCCGGGTAGCCAAATCTCCAGAGTTTTTCAGGAGATTTCTGTATGTGTGAAAAGGGGTTTTTGATTCACAAGTTTGTTAACGGCTGTATTTTTGTGAGTGGTGTTAAACATTTGACAAAAATGCTCATCTGCCTAAATGTTTATGAGACAATTGTGACCAGCTCACATGGCGTTTGTTTACCTACGCATTGGGTAAAATAGATGATGTGATGCCAGCCCTGTGTTGGCATGTTTCAGCCCGCTTAAAATATTTCAGTGTTAACATAAAAGGACCAAACGGAAAAATACAACAAGGAATCATTTGAGTCAGAACAAAGCAAATAAGCTACAGGTGTGAAAACATCCTAACAGTCTGTCAGAGACGCTTCTCTGCTTCGTGTTTGTCTCTGATTGTTTTTTTGTTCTTTCTTTGAAGTCGACCTCTTCAGGGATACGAGACCTCGGCTCCACCAAGAGTCGGTCCAGCACCCGTAGAAAAGACACCTTGGTGTGTGTGTGCATGTGTGTGTTAATGCGTGTAGCCGACTCAGTATAATACCTGTCCTGTTTTTATTTTAAACTTCTGTTAACGACTAAAATTAATTATATTTAAATGATTAAAATAATTATAACTAAAAGGACAAAGTCAGAAAGTGGGATCATTACCTGATGAAACAGAATCAGGTGAGTCTTCAGGGGATTCCTTTAAAACTAAAGTTTGTTTCACTGATTGCTGTGTTGGATGCTCAACCTGTTGATCGACTTATCCGGTGTTAGTGGCATTCACACCTGACAGGTGTTTGATGTTCTGATTCTGCTGACACATGTCCTTTCCTCAGTCTGATGGACTCTCCTCTAGCTCTGCCCTGAAGACCTCACGCTCCACCGTACGTACCTGTGTGATCACCTGTATGTACCTGTGTGATCATCTGTACCTGTGTGATAACCTGTATGTACCTGTGTGATCACCTGTATGTACCTGTGTGATCACCTGTATGTACCTGTGTGATCATCTGTACCTGTGTGATCATCTGTACCTGTGTGATCACCTGTATGCACCTGTGTGGTCACCTGTATGTACCTGAGTGATCACCTGTATGCACCTGTGTGATCACCTGTATGCACCTGTGTGATCACCTGTATGCACCTGTGTGATCACCTGTATGCACCTGTATGCACCTGTGTGATCACCTGTATGCACCTGTGTGGTCACCTGTATGTACCTGTGTGGTCACCTGTACCTGTGTGATCACCTGTATGTCTCACCTCTTTCTCTCTGGGGTCAGAGCTCAGTTTTCGGCGATCTTCACGGACACAAAAAGTCTTCATCATCTTCGTCAAAGAAAGACCTACTGGTCAGTTTACATTCTGAAGCTGTGATTAATATCAGATCAGTAAGAGATGTTCAGGTGTTTATTCAGTCTGACTCACTATTTTTTAATATTCTGATGGTGATGATGATGTCAAATCCTTCAGACTGGTCTGTACCACGATCAGAGGAACTACAGCAGCCTGACAAAGACCAAACCTCCTCCTCCTTCTTCCACCTCCTCCTACCAGCCTCGGGTCTGCCTCCACTTCCTAATTTTTCTGCTTAGATTCATTGTTAAACGATCTCCTGCTGTTGTATACACACAGTTTGCTCTCAGAATCTTAAACACACACACGCACACACACACACAAGATACCTGTGTCCACCTGTTCGACACTCTCCCCCATTTTCTTAATATTTCCTCTTTTCTCTCTGACAGGCAACCTCCTCGCTGTAACAGGCCTGACTCGCAGCTACAGCACGGTCAGCGTGTGTGCGTGCGTGTGTGTGTGTACTGTGCCAGACGTAGAGTCTATCTCACTCTGTGGACACATTGCTCCGATAGACGCTCACTGTGGGAATTTAAATGGAGCTGCTGCACACTAAGAGCTTCAGTCAGATAATCTGACACTATTAAAAACATAAATATATATGTACCATTAAATGGTCAGCGTCATGGTGGGTTTAAAGACATGAAAGATGTGGTGTTTTCTGATTCATGGTGTGTTTAAGGACCTTTAAACTGATGTTTTTCTGAGTTATCTCCATGTGTCTTCAGGCTTCTGTGTATGATGATGCTGCACTGTGCGGCTCGGGCTACAGTTCCAAAGCTGTAAGTGTGTGTTTGTGTTGGACAGTTTTCAGCAGCCCAGTGTGTCTCCTGACATTTGTCTGTAACACCCTCCCTCCCCCTACAGCCCTCTGAATACAGCTGGTACTCCTCTGCAGCCAGCTCCACCCGCAGCAGCCCTGTGGTGAGCTCCACCCGGCAGTATGTCACTAACACACACCCTAATGGCCACCCTCTCTCAGCATCAACCTCCTCCCTCCCTCAGCATCACCCTCCTCCCTCAGCATCACCCTCCTCCCTCAGCATCACCCTCCTCCCTCAGCATCACCCTCCTCCCTCCCTCGGCATCACCCTCCTCTCTCAGAATCATCTTCCTTTCTCAGCATCACCCTCCTCCCTCTCTCAGCATCACCCTCCTCCCTCCCTCAGCATCACCCTCCTCCCTCCCTCAGCATCACCCTCCTCTCTCAGCATCACCCTCCTCCCTCCCTCAGCATCACCCTCCTCCCTCCCTCAGAATCACCCTCCTCTCTCAGCATCACCCTCCCTCCTCCCTCAGCCTCACCCTCCTCCCTCCCTCGGCATCACCCTCCTCTCTCAGAATCATCTTCCTTTCTCAGCATCACCCTCCTCCCTCTCTCAGCATCACCCTCCTCCCTCCCTCAGCATCACCCTCCTCCCTCAGCTTCACCCTCCTCCCTCTCTCAGCATCACCCTCCTCTCTCAGTATCACCCTCCTTTCTCAGCATCACCCTCCTTTCTCAGCATCACCCTCCTCCCTCCCTCGGCATCACCCTCCTCTCTCAGAATCATCTTCCTTTCTCAGCATCACCCTCCTCCCTCTCTCAGCATCACCCTCCTCCCTCCCTCGGCATCACCCTCCTCCCTCAGCATCACCCTCCTCCCTCAGCTTCACCCTCCTCCCTCTCTCAGCATCACCCTCCTCTCTCAGTATCACCCTCCTTTCTCAGCATCACCCTCCTTTCTCAGCATCACCCTCCTCCCTCAGCATCACCCTCCTCCCTCTCTCAGCATCACCCTCCTCCCTCAGCCTCACCCTCCTCCCTCTCTCAGCATCACCCTCCTCTCTCAGTATCACCCTCCTCCCTCAGAATCACCCTCCTCCCTCAGCATCACCCTCCTCCCTCAGCATCACCCTCCTCCCTCAGCATCACCCTCCTCCCTCTCTCAGCATCACCCTCCTCCCTCAGCTTCACCCTCCTCCCTCTCTCAGCTTCACCCTCCTCCCTCTCTCAGCATCACCCTCCTCCCTCAGCTTCACCCTCCTCTCTCAGCTTCACCCTCCTCCCTCCCTCAGCATCACCCTCCTGTCTCAGCATCACCCTCCTCTCTCAGCATCACCCTCCTCCCTCTCTCAGCATCACCCTCCTCCCTCAGAATCACCCTCCTCCCTCAGCTTGATCCTTGTGTTTTCCCCCCTCGGTTGATGTGTGTGTGTGTGTGTGTGTGTGTGTGTGTGTGTGTGTGTGTGTGTGTGTGTGTGTGTGTGTGTGTGTGTGTGTGTGTGTGTGTGTGTGTGTGTGTGTGTGTGTGTGTGTGTGTGTGTGTGTGTGTGTGTGTGTGTGTGTGTGTGTGTGTGTGTGTGTGTGTGTGTGTGTGTGTGTGTGTGTGTGTGTGTGTGTGTGTGTGTGTGTGTGTGTGTGTGTGTGTGTGTGTGTGTGTGTGTGTGTGTGTGTGTGTGTGTGTGTGTGTGTGTGTGTGTGTGTGTGTGTGTGTGTGTGTGTGTGTGTGTGTGTGTGTGTGTGTGTGTGTGTCCTTCAGTCTTCCTCTGATGAAGACACAGTGAGCAGTGTGTCTCAGGAGCGAGGCAGCAGAGGTCGCAGAGACAGTGTGGTGAGCTGCAAACATCTGATGATGTCATTACTGGTTAAACTGTGACATCATCACTTGAATACATCATTGATTATTACCCTCTTCCCGTCTTCCACCCCTTACCCTTCCTCCTCCAGTTGTCTGATTTCTCTGACATCAGTGAGTCAGCAGCAGATTATTTCAGTCGCTCTAACAGACGAGGCAGCGTGGTGTCAGACCTCGATGATCTGATGGTCCCTGACCTTGACGCAGTGAGTCAGTCAGGGGTGAAGGTTTAACTGTGATGAAGGTTTATTAACTGTGATGAAGGTTTATTAACTGTGATGAAGGTTTATTAACTGTGATGAAGGTTTAACTGTGATGAAGGGTTATTAACTGTGATGAAGGTTTATTAACTGTGATGAAGGTTTATTAACTGTGATGAAGGGTTATTAACTGTGATGAAGGGTTATTAACTGTGATGAAGGTTTATTAACTGTGATGAAGGTTTATTAACTGTGATGAAGGTTTATTAACTGTGATGAAGGTTTAACTGTGATGAAGGGTTATTAACTGTGATGAAGGTTTAACTGTGATGAAGGTTTATTAACTGTGATGAAGGTTTATTAACTGTGATGAAGGTTTATTAACTGTGATGAAGGTTTAACTGTGATGAAGGGTTATTAACTGTGATGAAGGTTTAACTGTGATGAAGGTTTAACTGTGATGAAGGTTTATTAACTGTGATGAAGGGTTATTAACTGTGATGAAGGTTTATTAACTGTGATGAAGGTTTAACTGTGATGAAGGTTTATTAACTGTGATGAAGGGTTATTAACTGTGATGAAGGGTTATTAACTGTGATGAAGGTTTAACTGTGATGAAGGTTTAACTGTGATGAAGGTTTATTAACTGTGATGAAGGGTTATTAACTGTGATGAAGGTTTATTAACTGTGATGAAGGTTTATTAACTGTGATGAAGGTTTAACTGTGATGAAGGTTTAACTGTGATGAAGGGTTATTAACTGTGATGAAGGGTTATTAATTGTGATGAAGGTTTATTAATTGTGATGAAGGTTTATTAACTGTGATGAAGGTTTATTAACTGTGATGAAGGTTTAACTGTGATGAAGGTTTATTAACTGTGATGAAGGGTTATTAACTGTGATGAAGGGTTATTAACTGTGATGAAGGTTTAACTGTGATGAAGGGTTATTAACTGTGATGAAGGGTTATTAACTGTGATGAAGGGTTATTAACTGTGATGAAGGTTTAACTGTGATGAAGGTTTAACTGTGATGAAGGTTTAACTGTGATGAAGGTTTAACTGTGATGAAGGTTTATTAACTGTGATGAAGGTTTAACTGTGATGAAGGTTTATTAACTGTGATGAAGGGTTATTAACTGTGATGAAGGGTTATTAACTGTGATGAAGGTTTAACTGTGATGAAGGTTTAACTGTGATGAAGGGTTATTAACTGTGATGAAGGGTTATTAACTGTGATGAAGGTTTAACTGTGATGAAGGTTTAACTGTGATGAAGGTTTAACTGTGATGAAGGGTTATTAACTGTGATGAAGGTTTAACTGTGATGAAGGTTTAACTGTGATGAAGGTTTAACTGTGATGAAGGTTTATTAACTTTGATGATTAAACATTAATATCTGGTGCATGGGTTAAAATAAACTGATTCCACAATCTGTTTGCGATTGGTTCTTTGTGTGTGAGTGTGTGAGCCTGGCGTGCAGCAGCATGGACTGATGGAGGTTCTTCGTCTGTGTTTTTTTGATCTGTGAACATGTAGCATTGACCCCAAACTCAGTGTGACTCACAGGAAGCCGCTTGGAGCATGACAGCATGGCTTGTTCTGTTTATACTTTTTAATATCTAACTCTGAATGCATTTGTTTCTTTCAGCTGGACGACAAATGTGATAAACAGTATTCAGACTTCAGCCGGGTGAGTGCATTTATATATACACATTTAAACTCTACTGATTTAACCACAGAGCAGAAGAGCTAATGTGTGAACTACCACACTACATGTGACATCACTTCCTGCTGGAGGTTTAAGCAGTCATCTGATACTCTTTAGTTTCTCTGTAAAAAACATGATGGATTGATTGATGGATAAATTCTCTCTCTCCAGCCGTCGTCTCGCTGTGCGACGCCCGGCCTCTCAGCAGCCACTCTGGCGTCTCTTGGCGGCACGTCGTCACGTCGTGGCAGCACAGACACAGGCAGCATCTACGACCCCGACACCAGCCTGAGCGAGCTGAGGGTGAGAACACACATTCATACAGTTTATTTAATATCCTATTATTATTATTAGAGTCAATACTCTGATGAACACATGTTCTTCTTCACCAGGACTTAAAAGGGATGGTTATGTATTTTTTCAGTGTGGTATTATGAGGTCAGAATATTATCCACCTTAGAGGTCGGTCAGCGTGGCCCCTTTAGGGAGAGACTGGAAGGAAAGCAGCTCAGAAGCTAGGCTATGTTGTTTTACACACGGGGTTGATTGCTTCACGTAAATTAGCTAATTTCAAGAAAAACGCTGTGGTAAGTGTTCTTTGTATTATATTGTGAAATTTACTGCATCCCAGTTTGAGCACATTTTAATTAGGCTAACAACTGTTTAAAGATTATCCGGCTGACACAGCACTGTAATGGTTCAGTTTTCAAACACTTGTGTGTTTTCAAGATGGGGCTATAGGGGCCATGGGTTCCGCTTTATGCATCTCATCCACAAAGGTCCTGAAATACATTTTTAACAAAGTCCCTGAAGTTCTGATTTTACTACGTCCCACTAGTAGCTCTCCTCTGATGCACAAAGGTCCTGAGTTACAGTTGGAAACTAGTCCCACTCGTACCTACCCTCTGATCCACAAAGGTACTGTTGGTACCTAATCCCACTCGTAGCTACCCTCTGATCCACAAAGGTCCTCAGGTACTGTTGGTGGCAGCTACCCTAGGCACAAAGGTCATGAGGTACTGTTCTTACCTAGTCAGAAACTTTGTTTTTTCTGGAAAAAAGCTAAATAACCGCAAAGGAGCTTAGCTGACTGACATCTCCTGGAATTTACAGTTACTATTGATAAATATCTCATACAACTAAATGGCAAAAATACAAAACTGAAACACGTTTTCTGTCTGAGGAACTCAAGGTTACAGTGCTTCCCCTTTACATTTGATCGTCTGTTTCTTACTGCTTTAACCTTTTTTCGTTATTTTGTGGGGGGGTCATATGTCTGTGATGGCAGCTCGGGTGCTCTGTAACTCTCCTTGATAACCCCCCCCCCCTCCTCCTCCCTGTGCTCTGCAGGACATCTATGAGCTAAAGGACCAGATTCAGGATGTAGAGGGGCGCTACATGCAGGGGCTCAAAGAGCTGAAGGTATAGGGGCTCCCAGCATGCTCTGCTTCTTCCTGTACTATTGGGAGTCACTAACCCCACATCCTCCCCACCCCCCTCACTCTCACCTCTCCCCACTGTGCCTGCTTCTGTCTCTGTCGCTGCCTGCTCCTGGTCTTGTCTGGTTCATCATCCTTCCTTTGCTTTATCCAGCGTTTCCCACTCATAGAGGATAGCTGGGCGGGCAGCCCAGGTAAATTTATGGCCACACAAGTATATTTCCAACCTCTTTTTATTTAATTTTCATTGAATCATAAAATTGCTGCGTGTGCGACACAGCGAGAGCGGGGGAGAGAGAGAGCGCATGTGACAGAGTGCAGGCGCTCTATCTCTGGACCTCACGGCAAAACCAAGAGAGCTGTATCATAAACGCTTTAGAGAGAGAGGGTCTACTGTCTGTACACCCCACTTACCATCACTAACCTGGTTAGTTCATCATTAACTGGTTAGTTCATCATTAACCTGGTTGGTATATCACTAACCTGGTTAGTTCATCACTAACCTGGTTGGTAGTATATCACTAACCTGGTTGGTATATCACTAACCTGGTTAGTTCATCATTAACTGGTTAGTTCATCACTAACCTGGTTGGTTCATCACTTTTGATCCCTGTCACCATGGCAACATCTCAGATGTTTCTCACTGTTATGACCTCACTAATCTTGATTTTACTTTAAGAAGGGAGTGTGTTTGGTCTAAAGTGTTTAAGTGTGAATAAGCACCTGGTGCACTCAGGTGAGCTGAGCTGTGACTCCGCCCCCTCAGGAGTCCCTGGTGGAGGTGGAGGAGAAATATAAGAAAGCGATGGTGTCTAACGCTCAACTGGACAACGACAAAGGAAACCTGATCTACCAGGTGGACACGTTGAAGGACGTGATCGAGGAGATGGAGGAGACGACGGCGGAGATGAAGAGAGAGCTGGAGGAAAAAACTAAGGTGAGGAACACACCTGTTCGTACAGGACGTACCTGAGGCAATTCATCCTGTCAATCTGTGCATGTCGCAGTACACACTCTCAGAGATATAGACACTATATATAAATATAGTATTCATATAAATACATATTTAAAATGTGTTTCAGGAGCTGGAGCGGCAGAAGCACACCTGTTCGGTTCTGCAGCACAAACAGGAAGAACTGAAGGAGGGGATCAGACAGAGAGACGAGCTCATAGAGGTGATCACATGACCTCATCATACCTCATCATACACCTGTACATGGGTCTGTGCAGGCTGCAGGGGGCGCTCTGCTCCACAAGAACCTGCTATGGATTGAGTGACAGCTGTAGGGCCCCTCCCCTTCTCTTCTCTGTCCTGTCTCCTTGTCGTGTCCTCCTTCACCTGTTTCACATGTTTCACCTGTTGGTTTTTGCTTCATTTTCTCTTCTTCTGTCTGTGTTCTTTTCTTCCTCCTGTCTCCTCCTCTTCATGGTGTCACCTGTCTCCTCTTCATGGTGTCACCTGTCTCCTCTTCATCCTGTCACCTGTGGCACCAGGAGAACCAGAGGCTGCAGACTCAGGTAGACGCCCTCAGCAGGGAGATGTTCGACCTGCAGGAGACCATAAACTGGAAGGACAAAAAGATCGGGGTAACTCATGCTGTCTCTGCATGATGGACACCTGTAGGCTTTAACACACCTGGACCAGTCCACACCTGGACCGGTCCCCACTTAGACCGGTTCTCACCTGGACCTGACCCCACAGTGTGTGTTTCTGCATGTTGTGAAAACAGAGCTAACACTGTGCTGAGTCTGTGAAATAAGATAAAAATATTTAAAGATGTGACAACATGCATGCTCACCTGTGAAGGACCTGGTCAATTAGTAACCATCAATTAGAGGTCAAATAGAGATGAATTAGAGGTCAATTAGTGGACGCACAGTCAATCCTCATTCATTAACCTTTCCCCATGACACCTGCCATGCTGTCAGCATGTTCACCTGTGTGTGTGTGTGTGTAAAACTGTTGCATGTCTTTCCAACCTTGTTTCCACTTGTGCCATTCTTTTATCTGTCCTCTGTCCTTCTTTCCTTTCCTCTCCTCCCTGTCTTCTCTTCCTCTCCTTGTCCCAACTTTTCGTCTCCCCTTGTCTCTTCTCCTTGTCCTTTCCTCTATCCTCGTCCCCTCCTCTCTTCTTCCCTGGTCCCCTGTTATCGTCTTGTTCTCCACATCCCCGCCATCTCTCCACCTTCCTCGTCCCCTGCTCCTCCCCCCCGGAACAGGCTCTAGAGAGACAGAAAGAGTACTTTGATTGCATTAGGAGTGAGAGAGACGAGCTCCGAGACGAGCTCTCTGACATCAAAGTGAAGATGAAGACGGAGGTGAGTCTTCGTCACACTAAGAGGAGCTTCATTTAAATTTATTTATTTGTATCTTATTTCATATTTTTTTTATTTTTTACTGTTACCATGACAACAGTGTTCTACATATTATTAGCGGTAACCAGTCGAGTGTAGAGGAGACGTCACCATGGTAACAACTAGTGATGGTGAACACAGGGTAACGACGCTTCATTTAATGAAACCGGAAATCATTCATTATTTAAATGTCCATTAAAGGTCAAGTTCAGGTCATCGACACACAACGTCCTCATTCATTTCATGAGCGCCACCATGAGGAGTCCTGGAGAAGTGACAGCAGGGGAATAACCTGGATCTCAGAGCGCTGTGTTTTATATTCATAAAGAGATTTATCCTCAGATGATCAAATCAGTCAGGATGACTTATTAATAAAAATCATTTCTCACTAATCTATTCAAACATCCTCCACCTGTCCAACAGGTGTGACGAGCAGCCAGCATCAAACACTCCGTCTCTCTCTCTCTCGCCCTGTAGAAACATGGACTTGTCATTATCCCAGATGGGACTCCAAACGGAGACATGGATCTCGAGTGTCCGTCCTCAGGTATTACGGTGGTCTCTCAGGAGGCCGCCCAGGTGCTGGAGTCTGCAGGGGAGGGTCCTTTAGGTGAGTCCAGGTGACACAGACTGCTCTTTGCAAAGACATAAGAAGGATTGATTGAAATCTGACTATTTCCTTTCTTCATATAAACAAACTCTAAATAAATAATGCCGTGTTGTCCCAGATGTGCGGCTTCGTAAGCTGGCGGAGGAGAAGGACGAGCTGCTGTCTCAGATCAGGAAGTTGAAGAATCAGATGGAGGATGAGAGACAGAAACAGTCGAAGACAGACGGTGCGTTCACTGATGGGGAGAGAGTGGAGAACGGTACAGACCTTCACTTCATCGAGATGCAAAGTGAGTTTACTCCCGTCCTTCAGCACACACTTTGTAAAGATGACAGTTTGAATCTCACTGTTCTTTCACCTGCAGGAGACGCTAACAGACAGATCAGTGAATACAAATTCAAAATCTCTAAAGCAGAACAGGAAATGGGTACGATGGAACAAAATGTGAGTATCTGAGTTACAGATAACAACACATTCACTCTTCAGTCTTTTCATGTCCGGGTGAGGTGTGATGTTGAGGTGAGGTTATGTTGAGGTGAGGTTATGTTGAGGTGAGGTTATGTTGAGGTGAGGTGGTGATGTCGGGGTGAGGTGAGGTGAGGTGAGGTGGTGTGATGTGTGATATTGGGGTGTGATGTGTGATGTTGGGGTGAGGTGATGTCGGGGTGGTGTGGTGTGATGTCGGGGTGGTGTGGTGTGATGTCGGGGTGGTGTGGTGTGATGTCGGGGTGGTGTGGTGTGATGTCGGGGTGGTGTGGTGTGATGTCGGGGTGGTGTGGTGTGATGTCGGGTGAGGTGTGATGTCGGGGTGAGGTGTGATGTCGGGGTGGGGTGAGGTGATGTGTGATGTCGGGGTGATGTGAGGTGATGTCGGGGTGATGGGTGATGGGTGATGTGTGATGTGAGGTGTCGTGTCGTGTCAGGGTGAATATTATTCCCTAAACTCCAAACAGTGGAGGGGTCTCCTGAGCATGATTGCAGGGGCCAACTGTGTGTTTTGATTTGGATTTGTTTGTTTGTTTGTTTGTTTTCAGATCAACAGACTTGAAGGTCAGGTGAGTCGTTACAAAGCTGCTGCAGATAATTCTGAACGAGTGGAGGACGAACTGAAGGTGGAGAAACGTAAACTACAGAGAGAGGTAAAGGTCAACATGTTTACACAAACAAAGATAAATAATTAAAGATGAATAGGTCACTCAGAGTGTGTTTGTGTGTGTGTGTAGCTGCGTACGGCTCTGGATAAGGTGGAGGAGATGGAGATGACCAATAACCACCTGGTGAAGCGTTTGGAGAAGATGAAGGCCAATAGGAACGCTCTGCTGTCTCAGCAGTGAGCGGCGTCTTCTCACCATCAAGCCTTTAAATCTCCTCCCACTGCCAAACTGCGTCTGCAGCAACTCTAAGCGCAAACACTCGGACATTAGTAACCTCTAAAAGTAGCAGAAGAGCACGCGCGTGTTCACCATAGGGAGAGAGGCGAGGACATTTCACTACGTAATCTGTCATGTTTAATTCTCTGCTCGGGGGCGGGGCTTTGTTTTGTTTTGATAAGTTGCATGAATGAGTAAAAAGCTTTTAAAGCGTGACGGCTGCTCCGCTCTTTCCTCACAGTGAAGTGCCTTTTACACGAGCTGACGATTCTCTAAAAGGTTTCAAATATTTAAAGATTTCTGCTCAATAAAAGTGTGATTTACAGACGACTCCTTTTTCACTTTCAACACCTTTATTAACTTCCTGTGAAACAACTGATCACTCTGACCTTGATGTCACCGTCACTCAGAAGATGATGTCATCATTAGAATGTGTTGACTGTTAATCAGCTGATTTCTGTCCCTTTGTATTCGTCTCTTCAGCGACTCTCGCTGATGACTTTTCCTATTTTCAGAGAAATCTTTAAACGCATCAATTTGTTTTTATTTCAAACAGAGAAAGGAACAGTAGCTGATGAGAGAATGTTCAGCATCTCTCAAACACTTTGTAAAGATCGGGTAAATTTGCGATCTGCAGCACGCTGCCGTCCTCGCTGAAACTCTTCGGAGGACTGAAGAGACTGCGCACAGCTTTGAAGATGACGTGTTCAACTTTCCAACGCCACGAGTTCCCCTCCGAGTCCTGAAACACACACAGCCCTGTTAGCCCTGATCATCTGTGTCTAAGACAGAATTCCTCCTCAGAGGCTCTAACGTTTTTCTCACCAAGTCGTCGTGCAGGAGGAAGCGTTTCCTGATGGAGTAAAACGAGCTGCACTCTTTACAGAAGTCTCTGAAACACTCCTTCTCATCGTCCCAGTTCACCTGCGCACACACACACACACACACACACACACAGAGAGGTCAGGGTGTGTTGGCGCGGTCAGACGGCTCACACACGCTGCAGGAGGATCACCTCTGTGGCGAGTCTCAGGATGAACATGGGCAGACCCTCCATCACAGGGGAGAAGTTATCGAGCAGCAACGGCAGACCGCTCACATTCCCATCCTGCAGGGAAACACATTCAGAACCACAGGTGTGTGTTGTATTTATGAATGCAACACTGTGACAAAGCCAGTACCTGAGTCCAGAGGAGAGACTGCTCACCTGGTCGATCTCCATAGAGAAATAGTCCTTCAGCATCTCCGCCTTTCTCTTCAGGAAGTCCACGATGTACTGAGCAAGACCATCTTTGGGACCGTCGTCCTCGGTCCAGCCACTCTCCTCCGAGTCCAGCGCCAACAAGGCCAAGTCGTAGAGGGGGGCGGGACACTGCATCAGAACAGAACATGATTTTTATGGTTCTTCAAACTGCAGCGAGTTTGTCTTGATCGTTTCTTACCGACAGTCGGAGCACGCCGAAGTTCCCAAAGTCGTAGACGAGGATCTGATAGAACAGTTCCTGACTGAGACAGAACCACACAGGTGAGAACAGGTGAGACACAGAACCAATCAGAAGCAGGTGTTCTGTAGCGCTCACCTGAGTCTGCTAGTGTTCAACAGGTACAGTTTGGTCTGATGTTGAATCAGAGTCCACTGAGGATCAACGCAGCCCACAAACGAGTGATTCTGCAGGACGTCCTGAAGCCCTGCAAACAGGAAATGGACATGAGATCAAGACCAGGTACACCTGATAAGTGCACCAGCGATCACATGTACCCGTGTGTGTACCTGTTTGTTTACCTGTGTGTGTGTTCTCTTTGATTTCTGCTCTAAGGTCTTTGATGCTGTTCAGTTTGATGACTCGTCTCTTAAGGGAGGCGGCTGTAAGCTCCTCCTCTTCCTCCTCCTTCCTGGATCGCTTTCTGTCCAATGCACGCACACAGAACAGAGGTGTGTTTACAGAAACCTGCACACAGTAAATGATTGTCATAAACGCACACCCACATTTGAATCACCTGTGACCTTTGGCCTCTTCTGTCAGCTCCTCGTGTTCAGTCAGAGCCTCCATCAATGCGACATCATCATCCATCTCGCCATCAGAACCAGTCTGAGCCCGTTTAGAATCAGGTTTGCGATCAGGGTTAGGATCAGGTTTAGAATCAGGGTTAGGATCAGGTTTAGCATCAGGACGGAGGAAGGCGTCAAGCTTTTGGGAGCGACAGTCGGTCCGGATCATGTGATGAGCGTAAACTCTCTCTGAAGACTCGGAGCGAGAACAAGGATTCACCTCAACCCCTGAAGGACCAGGTAACAAGGTCTATACACACACACACATATTAGCTGTCAAATGATTAGAATAGTTAATCATGATCACATTTTTATTTGCATGTTGTAAATTCCTTTATTTCAAATTTTAAAATAAAAAGGCTTTTATTTTGAAGGTTTGTCCTGTCTTCACCTGAGAGTACTTTACTAGCTGTGTGCTTTTATTTTGAAATATAGTAATGCTCTTCCTGTAGATGGAAGGTTAGGACATGGGTCCTTTCCGAATTGTCACAGTTCAGTACGTACTTTTCAGTATACTGAACTTTTGTGGTCATTCAGTATGCATTTTTTGGGTCGATTAGTATGGATCAGATGCGTGCTTTCAGGAAATGAATTGTATTTTACCACCCACAATGCAGTGCGAAATTAAACAAATCGTCACTTCACGTCCGCCTCCAAATCAAAACAAACTAGCGTGGATTAATTGAATACATTTTTAATCTAGAGTTAAAGTCCCGTCTGAAATCACTACTTTTAATTAACAACAGACAATATAACAAATGTCTGCATTATTATAAAACCGTTCTCCCTCTATTTAAATAATGATTTCACTATTTAAATGCGTCTTTATTTGTTTATTTTACTTTATATTCTGTATATTACTGTCTTTCATTTGTACTTTATGTTATTTAGTTATTTAATCTGTCTTTTACTTGATTTACATTGTGATATTGGTTTGTTTCCCTGACTGTATATGTGCATTACTCTTCTTGAAAAACGGGTGAATGCGGCCGGTTCTGGAAACGTAAATGACGTCACTTCCATACTGAATGAATCAGATGAATTAGGAACAAATATCTGCCTACTGTGTGTGCATACTGAATAGTAGGTACTAACAGTATGCAGCACGGATAGTACAAACTGCATACTGCCTACTGCCTACTGAAAGATTGAGTATGTACTTGGCAATTCGGATACAGCCATGATGTTAAGCACAGAAACAGGAAGTGGTTAGGGATCACAAAGTGAGGTCAAACAACTCAAAGGAACGGTAACAAAGGTCGATGTGTGAGAGCGGGGAGAGAGAGAGTGACTGATCTATGATCTCTGATCACTGATCTCTGATCTATGACAAGGTGTTGACGTGTGTCACCTGTGTGAAAAAGGTGCGTGAGGCGTTGGAGCCGAGCAGTTTGCTCTCAACGTGTTTCTGGACGCACTCGATGACGGCGTCTTCATGCAGGAAGTGAACCTCGTGTTTGGTGGGATGAACGTTCACGTCGACGTTCTGAGGAGCGATCTCCAAACTGAGGAATAAAAAGGTCAGAGGTAGAAACAGGCGAGATTCAAAAGGTAAATATTATGTAACGAGGATCAGCCTGTGACCCCCCCGAGAAACATCACTGATGATGATGGTAAGGGGGTAAGGGGTTAGGGGGTAGGGTAAGCCTCTTACCTGAGGTAAAGGAAAGGATGTGTGTTCTTTGGAAGGTAAGCAGCATAAACCGTCTCCATGGATTTCTTTAAGGCACTCGACTCCACCAGACGATCTGAGACAGACCAGAAGATAATACTGAACCAGAACCAGAAAATATTGAACCAGAAGAATAATCTGGACCAGAAGAAAATACTGAACCAGAAGAATAATCTGGACCAGAAGATCTGGGGGGGACTCACGGTTGATGAAGAGGATCAGGATGCATTTCTTCACCGAGTAGTTTGCGTTGGAGATAAATCCTTTGAACTCAAAGTTCAGTTTTTGATCCCGAAAGCCGACCTCAATCAGCTCCCTGTGAGGGAACACATCATTCATTCATCTGTTCTTGTTGTTGTTGTTGTTGTCGTCATCATCGGGCTTATTTACCTGCTCACAGCGTTTCCGTAGACTGCTCGGATGTTGTCGATGACGGTGGCGTTGGGCTGAGTCCGAACGTCAGCTGCCGTCTCTCCGTGCTGAAAAACAACGTTTTCTCTTAAAAACTTCCTGAAGAGATGAAATGATTCAAAGAGAAAACCTGGCTCACCTTTTTGACAGAAAAGCTCTTTCCTGAGTTGTGAATGGCGTACCTGAAATATCAAAGTGAACACATCAACAAATAAACACATATGGTCATCAATAACAAACAAACAAAGATGTCCGACCTGCTGACCACGTCCACGATCCGAGAGTATTCATCAGCAACACTTTTTAAAGCTTTCCTCCTCGTCGACACGTTAAAGAACAAATCCTCCACCTGAGGAGGGGGGGGCGGGGGGAGAGAGAGGGAGAGAGAGATGGAGAGAGTGTCAGCTCTGTCCACATGGACAGGTGGAGACTGAGGCTCACTTCCTGCAGCAAATATAAAGACATATGAGAAGAGAGAGACAGAGAGACTGAATATTTGTGTGTATCTTGAACTCACCATTATCTGTGTTCCCTGGTTTCCTGCACAGGGTTTCATAGTTCCTCTCAGTTTACCGTCACTGTAACTCGCTCTGCATGAACACAGAACCATTATCATCATTGTTGTTGTTTATTTTATGTTGTTGTTGTGTATTTTATGTTGTAAGGAGACCACAGAAATAAATCGTAAGCTCACCTGTAGGCGCACTTAGCCTCAGCTGTTTTTGTTGTTATGGTAACATGAGCTACATGGCTGATACTTGAAAGGGCCTGAAAAATGAAAGCAGGAAGTGTAAAGAAAAACAACCTGTGGTTAAAACCTGAACAGTGATTGAGCTGCTCACCTCTCCTCTGAATCCGTATGTCGAAATCTCTGACAGGTCGTCAAATGTCTGCAGCTTGCTCGTCGTAAATCTCTCACACACGATCTCCAGATCTTCTTTCTGTCCCCGAATCAAACACACTGTTAAAGACCTCCTCTGACCTGCAGGGGGCAGAGTGGAGCTGACCCTTCTGCCTCCTTAACACATAACGGTCTTGTCGGTTAGAGACAACCCCCCCCACCAACTCTTTGAAAGTAAACCTGTGCGTTGGCCTACCCTGATCCCGGTCCCGTTGTCCTGAATCTGGAGAAGCTTCAGTCCGCCTTCTTTCACGGTGACCTGGATGTTGGTTGACTTTGCATCTAGGCTGA